AAGATTTCTAACAAGAACGATCAGGCATCAAATTAAGGAAGTTAAGATTACATGAAAATTTTGAGGCAGATCAATACCTTATAAGATTATACATTGATCTCTCTTCATATATCTCTCAAATGGTGGCAGAAGGATAAATTTTAAAAATTCATGACCACTTTTGTGTTGCCTTGATAGGTGTAGTTTTTTTTAAACAAAACTTATATGATGTATTTATCCGAGGAGTTGATGGAAACTAAATAAATCAAATTCCCCCATGCAATATTTCAATAATAGTGAATGACTTGAAGTTGCATGATATAAGATTTAATTTATCAAAAAAAAAGATATAAGACTTAATATATAGCTACTAGATCTAAAAAGAGTTATAAAAATTCTTGAAGATCTCATAAAATTCGCTTCCTCATAATTTGTGTAGTGCAGTCATTGGTCACGAAGAAAAATATCATGCCAGAAGATATATGACATGTTTCATGATTTTCTAATGACTAACAGACTTGAAGGGTATTTTGAGTGGTCAAAATTTTGAAGAGTTGGAAAACTCTTTATTGAAAACATATTTCAAAATAACTCCCTTTATAATTGTTCTTCGAGTAGCTAGGGAAACTGCAAGAAATAATTAGCTCTCTAATCCTCACTGTAAAAGGTGGGTCTGCATCCTCTGCAATCTGGAGTGTAGAGAAATTAAAGCCTACAACAAATTATGTGGACTAATACTATTGATTTATCACAATGAATCCCACAATGAAATATTTTAAATATAATTTTAATAAATCGTATCATTCAGAATATTTGATTGATGAAGTGTAAAGTTTCTCTACGACTAATTAAGATATTCAAAATCACTACCAGGAAAAGGCAGGCCTTTGCTTGAGTTTATGTTAGGATACAGATTCTCTCAACTCAACAATTTAAAGATATATATTATTACTTGTGTTGTATCGTTAAATCTAAATTTTTTTTTCAAGTGTTCTCAAAAGGAGGGGGGAGCAAAAGAGGCAAATCCAATTCTCACTGTTTAAAGATCTTTGTTAAAGCTTGTCATGTTTTGGATCTGAATCCTCTTCGCTACGGCTAGACAATAAAGAAAGCACTTTTTAAATCATAGCTATATATGCCTACCATTTAAGAGACAGTACTATGATTTAATTAATTAAAAAAATAGGATATCTATATTTATAAATATAAAATAATATTAATATGTATATAGGATGAATAAATAAATCACATAGTTAAATATTACTCAAAAATTACGATAAAAAAAAGGGCCTCTACAGAAATTGCGTGATTTAAAAAAGAGAATGCAAATTTCTTTATTTGGTTCTCTTATCTCTCAGATCTTGGACAATACATACATAACCAAATCCAATCCTCAATGCAAACGAAATATGCAAACAATTCCAAGCATATAATTACCTAGCAGCAGCAGCAGCAGCATCTTCATTTCCAAACCCACAATCCTCAACAAACCAAGGGAACTTGTCAAATGACTCATCGAACATCTTCAACGGCCCATGATCCAGGCCAGCACTGTTATCACCACTCGACGAAGAAACTGCAGCACAACCGGCCACAGTAGCTGCCCTTGTATCGTCAGAGTACTTGGCTAAGTTGTCGGCGATGTCGGAGTCTTTCCCGGTGAGCTCTTGGACGAGGGATCTGAACTCCGACGCGCTCGTGTTGAACCTGATCGGGTTTGTTATGTACACAACCTTCATTGGCTGCTGATTTTGTCTTTTGGCCTTGGCCTTCCTTGGGCTCTTTGGACGAGCGCTGGGAGTCGGCCGCTCCATAATTTTCCGGAGATTATTTTAAAAGAGAAATTGTTTATAGGAAAGGGTGAAAACGGAAGGAGGAAAAAAAAGGAAAGCACGTGATATGGAAAGAGCGGGAGCCACTGCTGGGTTGCCACATGGCATGGAAGGACAGGGTGACAGTGATTTGAGCGGGGACCCACTTGTGATGACGTTGGTGGTGCCAGCTAAGATGACGTCGCTGGTAGCTAGGCGGCTGCGTCGTATACTTGTGTGTAGGAACCGAGTTCTAATTTATACTTCTCTTCTTAAATTGGTCCCTCAGATCTTTTTGCCTTCGCAGTAGTCCCTCTAAAATTATTCGAATTGCTGTTCAACCCCTACGTTTCTACAAGCTACTTCAAAATTACTTCGTACGTAGGTGGTCATCCTTTGATTCGGAAGGATTAATATTTCGTGGGCTTACCGTTTTACCCCTCTATTTAAGTAACAATTATCTTTCTTTTCAAACATGTCAAACCTTGGCCCATATCTGAATTCCTAGACCTATTTAAACTCATTTAATTCTTAAAATGTTCCGGTGGTTGAGAGGGGGGAATGACTAATTGGGAATATAGATGTAATTAATGTATCATTTGTCATTAATAACTGATTCAACAGAAGAACTAATGGTGAACAAACTAATAGGATTTGAGGGATCATATAGCAATATCAAGGATTTGAGAAACTCATTTGAAAATATTGAAGATGCAACGGACCAATACGAAAAAACACCCCTAAATTGTAGAATATAAGACGCACACCAACGTACGGTCTGATTATGGTATAGCTTCTGTTTCCACGTGACTGTGTTAATACTTGCCGCAACAACTCTCCGAGAGTGAAATTGTATTTTGGCTGTTATTTTTGGCTTTCACCTTTCAACCTTGCACTGTATATTTTGAGTCTAAATTTCTTTTATACTAGAAATTAACAGATATACATGTAGAATTTTTTTTTTTTGGTAAATGAACTAAATTTTATTTATTTTCCAAATGTAACATTGTGTAGAACATCAAGATACCAGAATATCTGGTAATCAAAAAGAAAAGAAATTTACATTTTCTCAAGTATTTCTCTTATATGAACATGTGAGCTTTCATTCAAAACCTTTATATATATTAAAAACTTGATGGCATGAACAATCTGATAAGCCTCCCTCTTCTTGCCTTGAAATATCCGAAGATTTCTCTCCTGCCAGATTGTATAAACTGTCATCGACAAAACCATCCTCTTTAATTTCTTTATGGGACCTCTACCTCTTAGGTTGCAAGAATACCAGTTTAGGAGCTGGTTCCAATTACAAGATTTCCATTTAAATCTCAACCATTCCATTATCTTATTCCATACTTCAGTCGAAAACTGACACTCAAAGAATATATGATTTTTTGTTTCCATTTGATGCCATTGACATAGCACATATTTGCTCTGATTTGTGCTTAGCATCCTCATTCGGCATAGTCTATCCATAGTGAGGAGCCTTGAATGACAAGTCAACTGTAGAGTGAAAGAGTGCTTTGGATATAAAAACCCATCCAAAACTATATCATGCCAACCTACCAACGGAGCTGGTTGAATTAAGAGCATGTACATAGCAGAAAGAAGAACTTTGCCATTAGAACAACACTCATTTATAGCATTCTTCACACCTTCAACACTTCCAAACTTATTAACGAATATATCCCTCACTTTAAGAAGTTTTTTCCACATCCATGAATCATTCACTCTTGGTTGAACAAACCAGATATTTTGATTTTGTGAGTAGTTTCCATGTATCCATTTGATCCATAACAGATCTTTCTTGAGGTGCACCATCTATAGAAGTTTTGCAGCTGCAACATAATTCCATTCTTTGGCTGCAAAAAATCCTAGCACACCTTGTTCCTTCCTCTGGCAGACGGCTTCTCAGGAAATCAAGTGAAATTTTTGACTCCAAAGGAATCCAGAACATTGGCTACCAAAACTCTCACCGCCCGGATGTAGTTGCTCATCCAAAAAGTCTGAATACCTAGGATGGCCAATTTGATCATCTCAAGTCTTCCAGCATATGAAAATTTCCTTTTCTTTTGCCAAAATTGGAATTGATCTTGAATTTTACCAATAAGGAAAGAACAATCAATATATGAAAGTCTTTTTGTATTCAAAGGAAATCCAAGGTATTTCATTGGAAGTACTCCCACTTGGAATCCCAGAAAATCACAAATCTAATATTTGAGGCTATCTTCAATACCACTTAAATAGACATAGCATTTACTAGGATTAGCTTCTAATCCTGAAGCTTGACTGAACTCTTGAAAACATGCAGTAAGTTTTTTAATTGAGCTCATGTCAGCTCTGTTAAACGGTAACAAGTCATTTATAAACACCAAGTGAGTTATCTTCATTTTTGATCATTTGGGTGGAATTTGAAATTCCTATTAGCTTTTAGAGAGCTTAGCTTCCTTGATAAGTATTCCATCTCAATTACAAAAAAGATAGGGGGATAGAGGATCCCCTTACCTTAGTCCTCTTACACCATGAAAATAGCCATGTAACCCACCATTGAGTGATAATGAGAATTTTGGATTTAAAATACACTCTATGATCCAGCCAATCATAGTGTTAGGAAAACCCAACCCACCCAACATAGCTCTTATGAATTCCCGGCTAATAGTGTCAAAGCTTTCTTTAAATCAACATTTAGAATAGCTATAGGGAAGTTATGCTTCCTACCATAGTGCTTTATGAGCTCATGTGCTAACAAAAAAATTACTGAAGATAAGCCTTCCCTTAACAAAAGCACTTTGTGCTTCATTGACAAGATAACCAATTACTTTTTGTATCCTGCTAGCAATTATTTTAGAGATGATTTTGTATATGACATTGTAACAGGATATGTGTCTATAATCAGCTGTAGTATTTGGATTAAGGATTTTTGGTACCAAAGTGATGGATGTAGTGTTGAAAGTACCCAAGAGATTACCTGAGGTAAAGAATTCTTCAATAGCCAGAAAAAGATCCTCATTGATGACATTCCATGAAGATTTGAAGAAAGAAACATTAAATCCATCAGGCCCAGGAGCTTTGTTATGAGACATTGTAAATAGAGCTTGTTTTATCTCATCTCTAGAGACTGGAGAACTTAGTTCGGCACAATATGAAGAGGAAAGAATTGGGCCATTTGAGACCTCTCTAGGATCAGGAGCAGAAGTTGCTTTCTCATTACCAAATAGTTTTTTTATAAAATTCAACAAATTCTGATGTTATCCCATCCATACCAGCTATTCTAGAGCCATTTTTAGTATATATAGATTATACTCTGTTTTGATGCCTCTTTGATTTCATTACTGAATGAAATAACTGAGAACCCTTATCTGCATATAATGCCCATTTGATGTTAGCCTTTTGCCTATAGAAAGAACTTTCACAATCCAGCAGATTGGTATATTTCTTGATGCAATCCTTCTCTTTTACTATCAGCTTTGAGTTGAATAAGTCAGAATTCAACTTCTCTTGAACATCACATAGCTCAGATTTTGCTCTTAGCACTTGCTGACTAATATCCATAAAGTGTTTTTTATTCAAATCCTTGAGAACAAGTTTGAGGTTTCTGAGTTTAGTCTAAAACCTGTACATGTTATATCCTCTAAATTCCTTGCTCCAAACTGTTTTCACCATTTCCAGGAAATCAGGATGCTAAGCCCACATATTAAAACATTTGAAAGGCTTTTTACCTTCAAAGTTATCATCATCAATTGTAGTTAGCCTTGGGGTATGATCAGAGCAAAGGGGCATCAGATATTTAGCTTGGCTTGTAGTGTGTTTATGGATCCAGTCATCATTAACCAATATCATATCTAGTCTACACCAGACTCTTGTAGCTGAATCCTGTTTATTACTCCATGTATAGAAACAACCTGTAGTCTTGATGTTTCTAAGCTGGCTAGAGGTAATAAAACTCTGAAATTCATCAGTTCCAGTATCATTTATTTGAGTACCTCCTATCTTCTCATCACTATTTATAATTGCATTGAAGTCCCCACCCACCAGCCAAGGGCAATCTACATTTTCTTTGAATGATAATAAATCCTCCCATAGAGTTTTCTTACCATCAATTTGATTGAGAGCATAGACTACTGTGATTAAACATGATAATTTTTAATCTTTAGATTTCACCTCACAAGTGATATATTGCTCAGAAGATTTAATTTCTTGAACAGATAAAACTTCACTATCCCATAGGATCCAAATCCTCACCTTATTTGTTGCATACATATTTAATATCCACTTCCGGTCTTTAGCACTTTTATTTCCAATTTTCTACAATTTTCCAATTCCAGCTACTTTTATTTCTAATAGGGCTAGCAGAGAGATCTTACATTTGTTTGGGTCAAAAGTCGTCGTTTTTATTGTCATCGAATCTATTACAATTTGGTCGTTTCAATAAACTCAAATAAATGAGAAAAGTTGATCTTTTTATAAAATCTTCTTATACAATGAAAATACAAAAAATACAACTCTTGTCAAACAACGCAACGGACGTTTATCACCCGCTACTTGCATAGAAACTTCGCCTGTGCCGGGGACGTTAATATCCGTGGACCACCACGGATCAGATCCGGTAGACAGATTAAGTTGATCAAAGCTCTTACTTCACGAAGTAAGTAATCGCTGCAGCGATGATCCCGATCAAGAGAGATCACGGCTCTTCTCGAGATTTAAGACTAAGCTTAAATCCGGAGGAATAGGGGATGAGTCTCAGATCTCTCGAACTCCACTCTTTATGCACAAGAATTCACTAAGATCTGCTAACCCTCACTGTAAATTCATGGCCCCACTCTCCAATTTGGCAGTGTTTCGCTCTCTTGATGTCCGCCCTGTGCAATAAGCCCCTAGGTCTGTATTTATAGGCTTCGGATGCAGGTATTTTTATGAGAATGAGAGATTTGACCTTATCTGTAGTCAATAACGATCTAACCATATTTGTGGATAATATCAAGTCAGTTGGGAACCCCTGAAACAGATAAATCCGTAGAAAACCAATCGAAAATCATCAAAAC